AGGCGAACCGTAAGGACCATCGAGTATCACTTTCACATTCATCTGCTGCTCTTTGAATTTAAGTGTCACATCTTTGAGGTGTTTCGTCAACCCAAATCCTGCTCAGATGTCAAACACCATTCGTCCTGCAACTGAAATTGCTGGAATCGATTTCTGTATAAGCTCGAGTTCTTTGGCGTCAGCTTCTGAGGCGTGGGGATTGTTGGAGCTATTGGTCTCCCGGAATGCTACTTAGGAGTGGGTCGATGATGCCGATTTCGATGTCGCGGGGTATCTGTAACGTTGACCCTGAACATCGTCAGTAGCTCCCGATATTAAACAAGACTCGCCTGGCGTAACAGGATAAAGATGGAGGAAGAGGTACGACGATTCCAACAGTTACATGATGAACGCCAACGTAGTTCAGAGGGCGAGCGAGCATAAAGAGCCAGACCGTGGCCTCACTATTCTCCGACTTGGAAACTGAACACTCCAACGCACTGTTTGACTAGCATTCACGGAAAATTGTCCCACACACGAGGTCTATTTCCTTCGGGACTACCACGCCAGCGTCATGGAGGTTCGAGTCATATTAGATGAATTGGTTATCATGACGGGCATTGAATATTGAGAACCAACCGAAGGAGTTGAACGTTCATGGAGTGTGGAGAGGTCCAGGCAGATTGATCGCATCAACGCATTTGTTCTTATTCTGCAACACCAACTCACTTGTGTCGCATCTTTAGGTCTACTACCACTGCTCCCTCTCTCTCTGGCTCGACGAGATAAATCGTCTCGTTTATTCGGTATAGAGGGTATTGTATAAGCTCTGAGGATTTCATGGTGGAAATGTACAATCAATTCACGTGGGTCAGAGCGGGCGCCCCTTTCATTTCGAAACAAAAAAGGCCATTCTACACGTTGCTGGTTGCTGGGGAACCTCCAGTCGCTGACTTTGTTTAGAAACAGCCTCGTTGTCTTTCAAAAATTTCCTTTAATGGCTATTATTCAAAAAATCCGTTCGACCAATCCACCATTATTTCCATATTCTGCTCTTTTCGCGGTGCATTGGCCGCCTCCTGCCTCTCTGGGACGATTGGTTCACCAATCCATAATTTTATCGCCTTATTCAGTAATTTTCAGAAAACTTGAGGAAGACCAATCGTCCTTTCGAGGGAGGCGGGATTGCTTTAAAGGATGCACGGTAGGCGCTTGGTTTCCCCCACAGGCAATCAGCCCACTGCATCCCATCGCCTCTTTCCCTCCATTGCTTCGATTGTCCATCCGATCGACTGATTCGTCATGCCTCGCTCGGTCAGTCCTGACCTACTTCCTAATTATGCTGGTTACTCAGACTTTTCTTCGTTTAGTCGAATGATCTGAACACTGAGCCTTGCGAACACTGCGGTGTAACCGTCTGCTACAAATCCGACATTGCGCGTCATAATCAACTTCACAACGAACAAGGGTACGTCGCCGATACAATTGCCACAATTTCCGGCTAACGCCTCTAAGTAGTAGGGAAACGTTCAAATGCACCTACGAAGGTTGCACCTACGAATCGCTCCAGAAATCCAATTTAAAAACCCACTTGAATCAACAGTAAGCATTCAGCTGGATGAAAAGAAATAATTTTGACGCTAACTGTCTATTTTATAGCACTGGCGAGAAGCCTTACGCCTGCCCGGACTGCGACTTTTGCACTTCCGACCCCGGTTGCTTGATTCGCCACAGAAAGAGGTTTCATAACTATGTGACAAAAAGGAGGAGTAAGAGGGCGCAGCCAGCCCCCGGCACCAAGCAGAGTCGGCGCCATGCACCCTACCTCAAGCCGGCTCTCTCTCTTTCCCCTTCCCCGGATCCCTTCGATGCCCGGAACGAGGCTCCTTGCAAGGCAACGAAAGCCGACGGTTCCATCGCGTACACCTGGTCTAAGACTGAAGACCCCTCGCCATCTCCCATGGAGGAGGTTTCCGAACCTTTCGGGCCATTCACCCCGGCCCTGTTTGGCTTGTGGCCCACTCTTGATCCCTGCGTGGAGGTCTACAACAAAGTCGACTTCTCGATGAACCTCTTTTCCCTCCCGTCGTCACAGGATAGCTGGCCTAGCTTCGACGTCTTGCCAAGCTGGAGCAACGCGGCTCAGAGTCAACATTATCCTACACCTGAATTTTATCCCTCCTCTGCCTCTCCCACTCCATCTTCATCTTCATCATCGCTCGACTCAGAGTCGCTCTTCTCGTACGAGTGGACTTCGTCATCCCTTTCACCTTCACCTGATGCATTTCTCGATCCCTACGTATCGGAAGAAGAGTTGACCAATTTTTTCTAGCTCTCCGAGTCTATCAACTGTTTGGACCAATCTTATTCTTATTCATTTTCATAGCTACATCGGAAGGACTCTCATGATCACAGATACCCATTGACACTTGCATCTGCATTAGCATTAGCAACATTTACATACCCCTTGCATCGCATTTTTGTATACTTACATTGTAGTTCTATCTCAAACACGCATTTCATTCAGCTTCGCGACTTTCGACTCTGAGTACTAGTAACTCCGAGAACATCACTGAACGCGAAAGTTTTATCCCTGTCACCATCTTATTCCAAAGCTGTGCGTTTGTGGGCGTCATTGAAGGTGCAATCTACGTTGGCTGTATCTGCTGCAGCTGATTATCAGTCCTGTCGCTCGCCCAAGACTACATCCATGTCTTCCACAATCACCCCACCTGGCAGTGCCTCTGACAGATTTCCTTTACCGTTGGAGCTCTTCAGAGAAATCACAGGGCACCTGGAGCCCACCGAACAACGCACCCTGACACTCGTATCTCGCGTTGTCCGAGACCAGATACTAGATATCGCATTCAAACGCCTCTCCTTTTCTAGGTACTCAATTACAGAAAAACTCGATCCCGGCAAACAACCTCGAGAGGATGTCAAGGGCGCTGTGAGGTCTGTCTTCGCAAAACCCTTTATCTACGTACGGCCATCGAAAGGCTAACTTGGTTTCCAGGACACTCAAAATTCACATAGATTCCAAAAGCCTTTTACTTCCGAAAGCAAACAACGGCAACAGTAATAGTTTTTTCCGGTTCCTTCGTAGTTTTCCCAACCTGCAATCTCTCGATTATACTCAGTCGGAGGACCTCATTCCCCCACGTGAGCTCTTCGACTCCATCCGAGATGCGCATCTCTCCGAGCTCGCCCTGGATACCAGGCGTTACTTCATCGTGGAAGGTCCTCCTACCGACGGCATCGCATGTCTCAAGAGGCTTTCAATTAGATGGTCAGGAAATGACAGCCCCAGCACACCGGGCAGCTCACTCGATCATTTGTACCACCTCATTCGACCCTCTCTTTCTACCCTGGTGGAACTCAGGATCGAAAATTATCCGGAGACCGGCAATGACCTTGACCTCAGATTGTTAAGACAAGCAGGGGAGACGCTGCGCGTTTTCGATTACAGCATGCGGAACCACGATGAGGGCGTTCTTGATCTCATTCCAGAGATATTCCCTCATCTCACGAAACTCGCCCTGCAGTGGGAGCTACTAGTAGTCTCGGACGAAACGCTAGTCGGATACTCTCTCTCATGGAAGGCAAGTCGTTTTCTTTGCACCTAGTTAGTTAGTTCACAGAGGAATCTGACCATCGACTCCACCACTCCACTTGCCAGGATTCATACATCGTTCCCTTATCCCAAAACAAAAACCTGCTCGACCTCCAGCTTTCCTTCGACTTTGAGAACATTCACAACGACTTGGTCAGAAGGACTGATGCAGACTACGCATGGTACATCCGGTGTTACAAACGCCGACTAGAAGCGACTCATAAACTCGTGGGCGCCGGTGTCCTGCCTTTGCTGCGGACGTGTGGGTGGGTGCACCTCGGGACGGGTCCCAAAGTTCGGTCCATGCTACATTCGTTTGCGATCGAGGACAGAGGGCCCGAGATCGCGAGCCGCGTTGTCCGTGGGGTGAAGCAGTCTTGGATGGGAGCTGACCATGAAGACGAAAGGAGGGGTCGCATCACGACAGTAAAATGCAAGTTGGAGGATTTACCGGGTGACATCATTGGTGAGAACGACCCTTCTGAAGAGGAGGAGGCGTAGAATGAGGACGGAGAATTTCACTAGTCGAGTGCATTGCAGTGTTCGTGTTTCAAGGAGGAAACTAAGTAAGGTCTTCATGTCCGCTCGCCCTGATGATGAGGTTATGGTTGGCGTTCACAATAACTGATCATAGAATTGTCGTACCTTGAATGTTTTCCTTTGGCTTCAAGTTCGCGACTGGCTCCCTTTTCTCGTTTTCTATCTTGAATGGGATTGCTCTGAGAGGTGGGTGTTATAGACGGACTGTGGACTCGGAGTGTGATGTGATTCGTTATCCTTCACTTTACGAGACCTGGCGGTCTCCTATCAGTGTCATTGCAGAAGCCACAATGATTTGATTCATCTCAGGCCTTCTTAATCTAATCTTCGGACTAGTACTGTAGGCTCCTCCTCTGGTGGAGTACTCGTATCAGATGCCAACTTCCAAGGTCCAGTATCTGATTTGGAAAAGTGGCCTTATGGAGGAGACTAAAACTTTCCTCAATACACTGTCAGCAGGAATAGAAAATAGAACGTACGATGTGCGAAGTGCGGACGGACGTTCACCGTTGACGTGTATAGAGGTGGTGCGCGGGCCGCTATTGTTCACGCGTCCAGGGCTTTGCGTTTCTAATTGTGCGGAGGAGAATGTGTACACTTGTACCAGTTAAGGCGAGTCGTCTAGCAGCTACCAAGGTGCAAGCTGATCGATGTTCACATTCAGTGCATGGTCAACGTCACACCGTGACCGCCACAGCGTACCCCGCGACCGCGCCCGCGACCTCGACATCGAAATCACCATCGACCCTCCTGACAGCCTCACGCACGACACCCGATCCCCTTAGATGCCCCCCTGCTCGTCTTCTGCTGTGGCCAGGCTGCCAGGCCTTGCACCGGATTCGATAAGAAGCCCAATATACCTTATCAATCCCTCTTAGCTCAGTGGTAGAGCGCGTCACTAGTACCTGTACGAAATGACGAGGTCAGTCGTTCAAGTCGGCTAGAGGGAATACGGTAATTCCTCTTTTGGTCGAGATAAGTCCAAAAGGTGGCAGTCTTTGGTCTGGACGAGAAGTATGAAATGCAGATGCACTGCATAAGTACGTGCAGCCTGCATCTAACCGTGGTAAACGAGTCATCACTCCAACTATTCATGTCATGGCTACCTTTTCCCTAAATTTCGGAAGACACAAGTTCAGCAAGTCTTGTAAACATTACACAGAAGAGGAGAGGCTATGACCGGAGGTGCTACTATACAATCTCCCACGATAATAGGATAATAAGTAATTAATTACCGTTGAGCTTGAATAGCAGCAGCAGGAACCGCCGTTGAGATACGATGCGACAGAAGATCGGCCATGCTTCCGTCATCGGCCAGAAATGGGATCTCCTCAAGATCCCGAAGAATATGATCGATGTGTTCCGCAGCACCAGACATGTTGGCTACACGCGAGCAGGCAGCGCGGAGCGCAAGCAGGGTTCGATCGGGAAGCTGAAGTGTCTTCCCCACCTTCTCAGCAGCAGCAGCAGCAGATTTATCGACGCTAAATGTAATACGTTTGGACTTCAAGGGGGTTGCGAACCCACCATTCCTATTGATGCAAATGTCGTATGTGTGAAGCTACAGGTGCTTCAATGGAAATCGAGAAAGGACTTGTAGTGCGACGTACCGTATTATCTACGGGTTCGAGCCACAAATCAAATGTATCAAAGGCTTCGTGGAACTCCATGGACATTGTTATGACATTGTGGAGACCGTTGACGTCAGATCCCACCAGTTTTTTGGCGATTTCCTCAAGGCCAAACATCTGCAGCATCGCGAACACCGTAGCGGCGTAACCCTGCCAAATAGTTCAGGGACTGAGGATATACAGAGACACAGGAACTGACCTTGTCGCCGTCCTGTGCACTTTCGGATAAGATATGGGCAACCTGTGTATAAACAGTTATTCCATCACCCTCTGCTCTTTGGGCTACTGCTAATTCGGGGATCTCGGCGATAGACTTCTCATCGTATAGACCGCTGAGGGCACACTTGAAGCCATCACGTAACAGGGCCTAAACCAAATGAGCTGTTATTCTGGATGATTACGGAGAAATATACCTGTCTTCTTGCAGACGATCTTGTCTGAGGGGCATTCTGCAGTTCTTGAATAATGTCCGCTTGCACTCTATCAAAAGATGGGCGAGAAACATGGAATGAAGATGCAGGCCATGGTCCTGCATTCGAACGAACTAGATATTACCTGATTTAATTATATTTCTGAATAGTGAAAGACACTGCAATTTACACACGCATATCGAATGATTCCGATAATCGAGGCCCAGTTTCTGAAGAGCACAAGATCGCTCGTCTGCTGTGTCTTTGCCCAGACATGATTTTGCCTCGAGAGCCACACGAAGATAGGGAGCCGATCCTAGAGCTCTGTATGAGGCGGGGCCGAGGAAGTCCAGAAGGAAGAATCCTAGAACCCGAATACCAATAAGTGGATCTCGAGACGCTGCAGTGCCCTTGACTTGTTTGCGCGCGTGCTCTTCTGCTTCAAGTATAAAATTCCAGAGACTGATTCCCTCTGCATCAAGCCCACAGTCCTGCACAGATGGGAGTTTATGGCGGTCCTCGTTGTGAATGGCAGACATGTTGTTGAAGAGTGGCGAAGTTTCAACTTGAGGGGATTCATTCATCGATCACGCACAGACCATCCACTGGGGACGGTCGGGGCCGATAGCGATTATTAGTCAGTATTTCCAAAATAAGACGAATATATCCGATTCGCGACGCGCCGCCTCATCAGTAGGCTCACATAAGCAACCCTCTCCAAAACGGGAGAGGGGCTTATATCAAGGTACCGCTCCACCTATAGCAGTGTAATCTATTCTTATTTTCGACCTGTAGCCTCGATTTCTGTTCAAAAATATATAGTTACTATACAAAAGTCATAGAATTTGACCCTGTCTGTCGATTGGTACCATCAGTTTCAAAAAATGTGAAGGGACCATTTAAATAGTGGCCATTGAAACGAAGCAGTAGTTTGTAGTCTTGAGTCAATAAATTTTGTGATACAACAGTTTGAGTAGCCGGAATCGATGTGACCTGATGTGACTGATCATGGATCCGAGATAAATTGGCGCGACAAAAAAGTCTACGCAACCTCGATGGGTCGAGCGGTTACCACTGAGCGCAAGCTTGCTCAATCAATTGCTGCAATCAAG